CTGTATCAACGTAGCCAACAATCACTAGCAAGCAAGGCTTTGCCAAAATAGACCTACCTCATGATTACTCCTTACAGATGGCCTTAGTCTTTTCCTTCGTATTGTTGTTGAGCAAACGCGGTGTTACTTTAATCTTTATCCACGAACAAGCTGACGTTTCGGCAGATTTCGCCTTCGTCAGGGCCTGGAAAGGTCAAGTTGGCAGCAATTCGGCCAAACACCTCCATAACCAAACAGAGAAAACGCTAAACAAAGATTTCAATCACATTGAACACAGCTCTGTACACTCACCGCTTTCTATGGGTCTTCCACTGAGTATGTTGCGTGGAGACCAATCGCACAGAATCCACACGGAAGCGTAATGTGCCCCTCCCATCAGAATAACAGGCTTATGATGTAAGTGCAGCTATAAAACGCTGCTTAAGAAGGGCGGGTCTAGAGAATTCGGTAAACGTAGTTGAAATACCACCGAGTAATCTTAGGCGCCAGCTAGTTCGTAACCGCCTATGTGACCGTCTATGTGCGACGCAAAATTGAATAATTTGCCCTAATGGTAGAGACGGTGATTGCATGAGCTCGGGTATAGTTTATCTGATCTCCTGTAAGACGTGTGGTGACGAATACATTGGCGAAACGGGTAGACCCCTCTGTGTCCGCATGAAAGAACACCTAGTCGGCAAACGTAAACCAAATACCCCACTGGACACGCATAGGACCCAGAGACATAACAGGGAGGACTTTGAAGTACGTGTCACGATCCTCGCACAGGAATCGAGAACGCAAGCGCGCAAAACTCTCGAGGCGTTCTGGATTAATTCCAGAAATCCGAAGATGAGCCGCAGGGAAGAATGCTTCATTATCACGCGTGATATTGGGCAGTATATAAGCCTGTTATTCTGATGGGAGGGGCACATTAGGCTTCCGTGTGAATTCTGTGCGGTCGGTCTTCATTCGACATACTCAGTGGAAGACTCATAGAAAGTGGTGAGTGTGCAAAGCTGTGTTCGATGTGATTGAAATCTTGGTTCGGCGTTTTCTCTGTTTAGTTATGGAGGTGTTTGGCCGAATAGGTTGCTGTCAACTTGACCTTCCCAGGCTCTGAGAAAGGCGAAATCAGCGGAAAAGTCGGCTATTGTATCCTAATAAATTCTATAACAAGAACCTCGTGTCTGCTTACTGAAGAAAAACATCGAATTATCAATCAATGCCGAAGTTAACAGAAAGTCGGTCATGGGAATAGGTTAGACATTTCTACCGGAATTCCAAGAAGCTATCCGTAGCTATATTTTTGTCGGCAAGAGTGAAATGAGTACCAGCCCAAAAATGTGATGTTGTTTGTGCTCAGGGGTGAGCCGATTCCACCGAGCCCAATTGGTGCCCATTGGAAAAGAATGGCAAAACCTCGATTAAAGCTGAATACAGACAGTACGTGAATGGCAGGACTAAAAAGGGATAAGCTCAATTCACGCGTTTGAAAGAGTAAATTAGAGTGGTCGAACATGTTTTGTAAACATTACAATGAAAGCCTTTTCGATGGTAGTATCTTGGGTAATAAACAATGAACAAATGGAAAATAGTATGTAGGGCAAAATCTTGTTATGTTAGTTCTATCCATTCTGGAACTGGGATGAGCTTCGCAAACATTATTTATAGACATGTGAAGCAAGCGTACCGCAGTACCAGTGTTGATGTTCATTACGATCACAGTGCCGGTTCGACCCCGCCCGGAGTTCACCAAACCTGTGATCCCTTCAGAGTTAGCAACTGGGTTGAAGATTTCTTTGAAAATGGCTCCCTCTATACAATCTAAATGAGAACGCTCTAAACCGGCCATCTCAAGCCGAAAAGGAGGACCGACTCGATCAGTATTCAACGACATTCATAAAGAAAAAAATTGTTCTCAAGCAGCGGTCGTATCCATAAGGTTCGAAGATGTTTGTAGATGATGAATGCAAGGAAAAGAATGGAACACAAGAAATGCTGGGTTCTGCGCTGTAGTTGTGAGGACAGGACTGGTCCGGTAGGGACATTGACATTTGAGTCACCCTAATGCTATGTTACTTTCTCTGCATTGCTTATTCTCGCTTCGCATATTTCATAATCGAAATATTTCACTTCGTCATCATTCTTAATATTGCCAGTCTATCTCGATCGTTGGCAACGACTTATCCCAAGTTCCCTATAAAGGTTTCGAAAAATGCAAAACTTTAAGATAAAGAGAAATGTATTTGAAGATTTTGTCATCAACTTCTAATTTATTTGAGTAGTTATGAGATATCTGCGTGGTATAAAAAAGGATAAAGCTCTCGGCGTTGATTGATCTATGAGCGATACACCATGCATTCGGCTTCATTAAGCATCGTGTGAAGGTGATTGAATGCATATCTGGCGTTTACAATGACTCGTGGCGGCCTACCGATATGTCGAGCCAGTGCTGGTATACTCCCAGACAAGTGTGGTGCCAATTTGCCGACCCCTGAGGGATAGAAAGCTTCATGGGCGGCCATAGGCGCGGGGATCGATTCCACGTGTGTGCTACAGGGCGCCTCTGACCACTACGCCACACGCGGTAAGACCTTAAATAGTAAAAGTTGAGGACAGTACTTTCCGGAGATTTTAAAAGTACGCTTCGTGGGCCTTAGAAAACCAGAATTTACTTTTCTTAGGATGATATACGCTACACCTGTTCTCTGACACGACCCATCTCTAACACGTACTGTGTGAAACCCAACACTTGCACTCGATTAGTTTCTTCGCATTCACCATCCATGAAGGTCTTCCAAATTTTTTCGTGTGGGGCTCGGCTTCTGCTTGGCGATTTTACTTTCGTCATGAATGTGGTAGAATGCTGGTCGGGTCAATTCTTCTTGAAGTCCTGATATAGTCGGGGTGGCGCGTTACTACTTGGATTGCAGAGACAGCATTTCCCCAGGCAGCGCTGGTGCCAATTTTGTAAACCTGGAAAGAGGCCTGATGGGCTCGGGGCGGGGTCGGACCAGCACCGCGCTCGTGGAGAATGGGATCATTACCACTGCGCTATCTGCTCCCTTAAGTACACCTATTAGCAAAAACTACTACTTATTTTTGTTTATAGTCAGTAAAAATCGCTGCGCAGATGTGAAAGGCGTTAGTATACACAGCTGTCATATTAGCGGATTATGCATTCTAACAAATTCGTGATGCTAACCAGCAGAAGCACTGTTGTAATGATCCTGGTTGGGTTCACTACAGGTCACCGAGAATGTTCCCAGCTAAAGTGATGTAACTTCGAGCATCTTCATCATAAGAATGCAAGGCAGGGCCCGTTTGAACAACGTAGAGTCTTACTGTAACTAGTGCAACTAGTCTACTTGCACTGCATTTTTCCGGGTTTTTGAATGGTATCCGATGTTAACTGATACAATCACAAGTGTGCATGGTTCGCTCTGTCTTTTCCTTCCGTACGTGGACTAACCGTATTTATTAAGACTTCCATTCCGAGAGTCCAAATGTGCTTCAAAAAGAGTCTGGGAGATAGTTTTGCCTTCTCAAACCCTCCGTAACGTACAGCAACTCAATTCTTACTTTGCAGTAACGTCAAAAAAGCTCCTTCCTTGGCCATGCGAGTTAGGCTTCGAGCCGCTTCATTGGTAAAATCATCACTGACAGGACTTCATTGCAAAGGTACTATCCAATGAATGGTGGAAACTTTTCTATAGACTCCGTTATTTCATCCACATAGTGAGGGCTGATCACATTTCACCTACAACTCATTCCCTACTATTGCTTTGCATGGCAATCCATTCGTTTTACCTTTTCATGCGCTATCCAACAGATGATAAATCCTACGGCTCGTTCTTCTTTTCATCTAACAGCACTTGTTGGTCAACTAATCTAAATATAGCCTGTCCTAACTGCTACAAAGAATCCCTACGAATTCCAATCTGGGTAAAATTGACTCATTGGTTCTTTTCTAGCAATTCGATTCAGTCACACAAACGATTAATTCAGTGGATATCAAACAAGCGTTGAAAATCGTTTATTGTTCTTTGGATACTTTGTCTTCGCAAGATTATGACGATCCTTTTAACACACATACATACATGATAAAATAGAAAGGAGCGAATACACTTACGAAAACATGCCAGTCGGGACATAATTTATCAAGTCATCAGAAAATCAGCACCTAATGCGAAGTAAACGAAGATGATGATGATGGTAAACAAACCCGCTTCAATCAGCACTCGGGGAGTCCGTTCGGGACCCCGTCATGAGAATTCGTTGGCAGGAAGTGTGAGACCGACGGACCTCTATAGACTTAGAAAACAGGGATGTGCGGTTGCTATAGTTATCGTATTTGAATACGTTTAAAACAAAATACGTCAACATATTTTCCAATTTTAGGCTGAAATAGTAAGTACATCTTCAACCATTTTGTTTCAAAAGTTTATACTATGTACTTTCTGTTAACGTCATAACAGTTCAAATTTGAACATTTTTTAGACATTTCTTTCTCTCCTTTTTCTGATGATAATCGCTTCAACGATGACAGTGATTCTCGGTGATCATCGTGGTTCGCAACTCTTCTGATTTTTCCTGCCGCACATCCCTGAACTGCTTTAGGACCAGGAATCACATGAAGTCATAAAATATCATATGGAAACCGGAATGGAGATACAACATAGGCAACTTCGCTAAAGAACTATCACAACAGAGACAACGTCCGAAATCATAAAGAAGTCATCCGTTGAACGGTAAACGAAAGGCATGAAGGACGAATATGTGTGAACAGCGTTGTACGCCTACATGTCGGGGTATGGAAGAAGGCAGCAATGAAAGAAGTGTCGGAAAAAAAAAGGCGTTTAGAGGAAAATACTGTAACTGGATGATATGGCTACTTAATACAATGACTTGGAATCAGACCTATTGAGATATAACGTCCGTTAGCTCGAGTCATAAAACAGCGAAGTGAATAGGTAGAGCATTCCGACGCTGAAAAGTGTATGTCATCTTCGAAAGCGCTAACCTTTCACCAAGACTTTCTGACATTTGCCACGAATTGCCCAGTGAAATTGGTTGAAATCGGTTTTCGTCCACATTTCAGTGTCCGTCGGTGTACCGTTCACTCTCTCAATCACCCTGCAATAAACGCTAACGTTTAACGCATCATGATGGATGCCGTACAAATCAATTCGATCTTAACAGAAGTAAACAAATTATCACCTGTACCTTATCTCTCTGCCCATATCAGATAAACAGAGAACTTTGCCCCGGCCACCACTTTTCTCGGCAGTTCGGTTGCTCTCGAAACATAATTCTATGTCACCTCTGAAACAACATTAGCTTCTACGTTGCAGATCAATAATAATAGAAGACAAAGTGATAACAGCAACAATACTTCGCAATGAATTCGCAGTAGAATCTACTAATAAAGGAGCGAAACAAATCAGACCTTCGCTTGTGATAAGAAAGTGTGAGATCTAAATCGAGCGCCATCTTCATCAACATCGACACACACTGACCATCGTTTAGCGAAAATGCTGAACCATGTGTAGACGTATTCACCCTGGAACAATTTCACTGACATTCCACATAGTCTGAGCTTATGTTCTAGAGCTCAAAAATTAAGAAGCGAGGGAAACGTGGTAGGAATGTCAAAACCCCATAGTCCTTGAATGACAAGTTTCTTTGAAGGTCATCGTAGAAAAATAAACATGATAATTTTCCACTATAAGTTGTCAAATCGCGTGAAGGGCGCGTGTAGCGCAGTGATCGAAGGTGCCCTGCAATACACATGGGATCGATCCCCGTGCTCCGTCCCAAGGGCCCACCAAGCTCTCCATTTCTCCGGGGTCGGTAAATTGCTACCAGACTTGTCTGGGAGGATAACAGCACCGGCTCGATACATTGGTAGCCCACCACGAGCCATTGCAAAGGCCAGATATGTATTCAGTCACCTCCAACGACACTTAATGAAGTCGAATGATGCATGGCGCATGTCTCTGAGCTTGATCAACGCCGAGAGGTCCACCCAGTTTTTTACCTTTTAAATTATCAAATCTATGGCAGAACACCTTATTCTTCAGTGATATACAGATTCGAATATCTCGACCGACGCTTTTATCGTTGAACAACCCATAAAAAAAGGATAAAGCTCTCGGCGTTCCTACGGGATTCCAGTCCCTTAGGGATGCGCCATGCATTCGACTTCATTAAGTATCGTTAGAGGTGATTGAATGCATATCTGGCCTCTACAATGACTCGCAGTGGCCTACCGATGTATCGAGCCAGTGCTGCTATCCTCCCAGACAAGTCTGGTACCAATTCGCCGATCCCTGAGTGATGGAAGGCTTGGTGGGCCATGGGTGTGGAGATCGGTTCCACGTGTGTGTCGAAGTGGCGCCTCCAACCACTGCACCACATGCACCCCTAAAACAAATACAAACTATGACCATTCCCGCAAGAAGATGACGAGAAAGTGAAGATGAATGAGGACGAAAGCAAGATGTAGGAACATTTCCAGCACAAGGCATACTCTCAACTATATAACAGTTCAAATGTTATAGCTGTTCAGCTCAATCGATATGGTGATAGGTGGTTGGTTTCATTTCAATGTGCTAAGATCTTCTTATTCCCAATTCATATACGTAACATTTCAACAGTACGATAAAAGGCAAATCAAAAAGAAAGTCATTAGAGCACCATACCTAATGATGCAGTAGATACAGTACGTAGAAGGAAGTTCACTCTCCACATCCCCTCTTCCAAGTCATATGTTTACATAACTCTATCTCTAACTAGGAGTACGTACTAAATTAATGATTTACTGATTGATTGATTAATGAAGCTTACAACATTGCGTTCCACATAAGCGGATTGGTGGCCATGTTCATGAATGCGCTAAGGTGATTGGTAGAAGTCACTGATGGACTTCCGCCGCTGGTTGCCGCATCTTCGTGAAGCGGAGACGCAGCATCACCTGCTAGTGAACCGCCTGACGAGCCGGCCTGTATCTCCTGTAAAGTAGTTATATAGTGATTATTGGTACTTCGAACGTTATATAGCCTTTAGGTACGTGCTAACACATTGGCTATGAAGTTGGTTTTTTTTCTTACTCCAAACCATTTTCTGATAAGAATTTGTATGGCAAAACTTGTTCTGCTGCTCCAATGATTAACATAGCTCTTCTAAAATGTTATTTAAATCCTACAACTGTTTAAAATTCGAATCTTCAAAAATCCTAAATGATGAAATTTTCAAAATTTCCAATGTAGGCGAGCGGCAGGTGGTAAAGATGGAGGCCCATTCGAAGACACTACTGTGTCCTACTTACTGGAAGAGCTCCCGTACGTACAAAAAAAATACGGAGAAACATTTGTGGATTCAATAAATTTGAATCTCAATCCTAGGAGGGCAATAAACTTGCATCGGCAAAAACATATAGATTCTAATGGTTTTTATTCGAATAAATATAACTCACTCTGACCCACTATGGGACTATTTAAAGTAGAAGGGTCACATTGTTTTCAGTGACGCATTGATATTGTTGCGACAGTTTCTTTTAACATTTCTTGTACTTTGGTATGATGATTTCCAGAAAAGTTTCGAGATAACCGATGATTTTGTCGAAGAAAATCTGTCCGTAAACATTTTGTAAGGAACATTCAAAACAAGAAAAAAAGAACTCAGCACTGACACCGAAGATGGAAATGGATGACCTCATCGAAAGTTGTGTGGACGTTTTACGTGGAAATGTACCTTTGTGTACATAATTGTTTCGAAAAACGTGAGCACTACCGTTAACGGAAAAGAACTTGCCCTTGATTACAAAACTAGCGATGCATTAACTATTTATGGTCAATTCCTTCTGTTCAAGATAAAAATTTGCCCTTCTAAAAAACTCGTAGAGACTGTGGTGCTGCAAGTCGAAAAACCATCCATCCTAGTGGATCGTTGTCATGAACCTCCTGAGCTGCCCATTAGAATCTGTGGAGGGCCAAGAGCTATGAGTGAGTTTTGTTGAGTTTTGAAAAATCACAAACAATAGCATGAAACATGACCGATCACTGGAATACGTAGATACATGGTGGTATTCTTGGCGCGGATTGCCTTTTGAGCCTATACACTCTCTGTCAACAAAATAAATGTAAATGCATTGGAAAAGTATGGTACAACGTCCTCTCGACTTTGGCAAGTTATGAAAAAAGTGGGTTAAAAGATTTGAAAACAACAAGCAATTGTATAGAAACATTAGGTTGACAAGATAAATACGTCAACGAAAACTTGAGAGCACAAAGGAATTTGTTTGAAAAACGCCACTATAGACCCTGTAGTATTACGGAAAGAGGCAACCTTGACTTTTTTGGAAAGAAAGTATTTGAAATAGAAATAAGATCTAAGAGTGCAAAAGCTTCACCTCGTGGGCGTTTTCTTGCTCCTCGTCTTCCACCGGATAACCGGCCGATATATTAATCACTTCGCTGGATTTTGGTAGATTCTCCAGAAAATTGAACGGATTACTAAGCTGAAAAACAGAAAAGCATTACAATAACAAAAATAAACAGCAGTGTCAGAGCAGTATAATTTAAGACTGTATCTAACTACAAGGTGGCTGGTAGCGCAGTAATCGTCAGGACGTTCAGTAGGGGAAAGGTTCCGGTTCAACCACGCCGCAAGCCCACCAAACTTCCCATCCCCCGGAATAGGTGATTGGTATAACTCGTCTGGGATCAGCTGGTTCCCTCCAATCCACAAAATTGTGATTGCCTGGAACTAGCGACTCCGTAGCAAGGCAATGCCAGAGTTTGAAGGAGAGACGATACGATCAACATTGAACAAGATTCATAGAGAAGACCAGAAATCCTCAAGCAGCAGCCGAACCTGCATACAAACACCTTCTTGGATGATGGATACGAGGAGACGAACGGAGTATAGGAAGCGCCTGAACCCTCACAAGTGCTGTCAAGTTGCACAGAATAAAAAATAATAACCTATCAAACAACAAGGATATAAACATTTCTAGACTTGACATGGTTTTATAAAAATGTGAATCTGAGCTATATTGGCAGGATTAAGAAAAACGTCAATCTTAGCTTACAAAATGTTACGTCACTTGGAAACCCTAGTTAACTAAATAGAAGTGACTTGAATTTGACATTTTTACCATGATACCGGTTAATCGATAATCCTCAGATATAAAATTTCAACAAAATATTGTTCTCATTTTCAACTTTTAAGCAAAATTTAAAGAAATGGTAAGACAATAAGAGGTTGAGATAATTTCAATCCAAACGCAGTAGCAGCCAACACAAATGGCACAGTCAGGAATACCCTGCTAGACGGACTTCCTCTTGTTCAGCACCCACTCCCTGTTGCCACTAAGAGCCTCTATGAAAAAACAGGAAAGAAGAAACAATTATCAGCCACAGGAAATTCGACCGCCCATTTTTGTACGACAAGAAAACTTGAATTTTGTGTGCAAAGAAATCTAGGTTATAACCGTTTCCATTTCAATGGACTGAGCTCACTATGAGGTTAGATATGTTCGTTCCAAGCGTAAACGGTATCGAAAATAAAAACCATTTTCGGCAGTGTGTGCTTTGAAATAAACCAATGAACAGTCACAATGATGCTGAAACATTTGAAAAACTCCGGACCGTTGGTGTCTGCGGTGGGGAACGAAAGCGATATTACCCTTTACAGAGGCTAACGCGTTTACCACCACTCCATACAGGTCCCTCGTTTCGCCTTTTTCTCAGTTAGTTCTATCGATCAGTAGCATCAGCAACCACCTGTCAGTGGGATTGATCTGGGGAGCCCACATCGGTACTGAACTCAGTTAAGCTGAGGACAGAACTGGCCGCGAGACAGGCGAAACGAAGGACCAGCATGGTGTTGTGGTTAATGCGTTAGTCCTCGGAAAGGATAATAGCACGTTCGTTCTCCACCGCAGACACCTGGGGTTCGGAGTTTTGCAAATATCTCAGCATCATTGTTTTTGTACTACACATAATACCCTGGCGTGAGAAATTATAATAGGCAGTAAATAAAAAGTTAACATCAATGAGCAGTGCTGACTGTTTATTTGCTGCTTACCACAATTTTTCACGGCAAGGTATTACGTTGAATAAAATCATATTGATACTGAGATATTTGCAAATCACCGGGTCGCAGGTGTCTGCTGTGGAGAACGAACGCGCTACTACCCCTTCCGGGGGCTCAGTGCGCAGTGTTAATGACCTCAACGCAGGGCACGTAGTAAGGTCCACCAACACAAAAATAGTCCATAAAAAAATAAACAGTAGAAGAAAAATAGAAAAAAATCACTACGATTTGTGCAGGATAGTCTTCCACAGTCCAAAACATGAAGCAATTGGTACTTTTTAGTACTTCACCAGAACTCTACAAAACAAGTCGAAGAGTTCGCAGCAACAAAACGATTGCATTGTTGGTTTCAGTGTTAAGATATATCACGATTGATATACGCTTTTTGGACCAGCAGCAAATTAAAATACTAGGATCACAAGAAATATACGAATATATGGAACAAACACCATATAATGGGTAACAAAACGGAAGTGACACCGTCCAGTGGGAGCATTCGACCTCCACTCTGGTCCACCAGGCACCCATACCTACGGGGATGGAAAATTCGAACCACGATTTCCTGGGATCGGTCCACTCCCTCCAATCAACAAAACTGATGATTACCCGTGACGAGGATATGGGATAGGGATAATGGGCTTCAGATGTGGATATCACGTCAAGAATACTACGCACTACTCACAAGGAGCTTGAACAATGTCTTCTGAAATATAGCCGGCATACTCAATATCTAGCGGGAATGCGAATGGGACCTTCGAAATTTATTCCACTTTTGATAGCTAAGAAAAACACATCGATAGCGAAACACAGATAGTACTTTGCCTGTCATAATAATGAGAACAGACGATAGATGGACGAAAAACTGTAGTATGGATCCACGAAAATGCAGGCGTCCCCTAGGACGATCGTCGACACGTCAAGCGGACATGAATTCGTAACTAAAAGCAAGCAGATGTACTCGCAGCTGCCGCTCTTTTAAAGATTACGGTATGAGATTCGCACCCGTCACCATGCTCGAATAAGACCACCACCACGAGCGAAGGCTGCGAGGGAAAGCAATTAATGGCAAATGTGCTGTGGTCCGCACAACTATTGAAGACGGACCATCCAAGTGTCCAAGTAAGTAAATAAAGACTCTAGTGAGAACCTACTTTAACCTCAAACAGCATCCGAACCCACACGCAAAGTTCAAAGGCCTTGGTGGAGTACGGAGACGAGAAAACGGATCGAACGCAAAAATGCTGAGATCCGCATAACATGTGGCGTCGGGTCGTGTGAAAAAAAACAAGTTACGAATGCCGAACTTTTGTGTGGATTTGGAAGGAAACGACGAAACTTCCCAAACTAATAATGGAAGGATGCTAAACTCGTGTGTAGTCCTAACTTTCCTGGTCAGTAAGACATTTTTAACTAAATTGAGATTAAACGATGCTCATAAAAACTACTTCAAAATTTTGATGGATTAAACACGTAGAACAACTACAATTTTTGTGATTCATTCTAAAGTCTCAGAGTCATAAAATACTTGTTATATTTTCGAAAATGCAGACAACCGACCTGACTCGCTGACTGCAGTTGCTGGAAGGCCAATGCAACGCTGTCGGATGGAGGAGCCGCCTGGCTGTTGCCACCGGCTCGAGCCCGCTTCACATATGGTTGTGTAGGCGTCTAAAATACGGATCATTTCACGGAAACTACTAATATTCTGGTGGATTCTCTTCGAATCTTCTTGTCATGTAAGGGAGCTCAGAGCGCACTACGTAATGCACACAAGACATTAAATGTACTTTTATCCAAAGCCCTACAAAGAGAACTGAAATCGCATGAAGATTATCGTGTTATGATTTTCGGCTGTCTAAAGACTCATGCGCGCTACCTGTCTTAAGTCTGGATGTTAATTTTGGGATAATCCAATTACGTTTAAGTAATAAATAGAACTTTAAGTTCAGCTATCTCAACCCATAACTCGTTATGTGTTCAAATGAGACGTCAGGCTAACAAAGTGAACAAGTGGATGCCCCTCGAGATCAGTAATAGCCAATATGGAACTGATTCAAAGCATTCTCTTAACTGCTGTTTATTTTGTAGCATATGGCTTCTTTCCTAGTCTTTTTTGTATTCATCGACCAGTAATTTACGTGCCATAGATCCCTTTCAATACATCCAAGCTATATTTTATACCTCATAATTGCACAAAAGCGTTTTTAGAACGAGTTTGTCGTCTGCATCTTGCGGTGAGAGATTGTTCTAGCTGGTGAAGTAGATACAAGATATGGTGATAGTGGGACAGATAAGAAACGAACTGACATATCGCTTGCTATATAAACACAAATGTGTGAGTTCCGTTCCTGCGACGACTGCTTAGCAGTTGTAGCGATCAAACAATGGAGAGGTTGCTGGTAGCGAGGAGGCTGCTCTACTCAATGTCCTTCCCTAGGGTGAGCAGAATAGACCGTATTGTTGAGTTCAGTGCGTAAAACCCTCGAAGAAAAGGGATAGATCTAAACCGCAGGAAAGAAACTAATTAGGTGCATTAACAAATATGTTATGACGATTAACCCAAAAAGGTTTTACAACAACTGACGATAATTTTTCGACCGCTTCAGCAACTAAAAGGCTGAGGATCAGATTTGTAAATGCGACTTTAGAATAACACCTTAAGCGAATAGACCATGCTCAGAAAATATTCTATTTCAAGTAGGTTTAAAAGTAAAACTTTAAGAAAACACGAAAACCGGATTTAGATTGAAATTTTCCATCGTATTCTGGGCAGCAGGAAACACCAGCAGTAGCTTAGAAAACAACAACGCCTCCTGTTCTATAGAACCCCGACTCTTCAATAGCTTAGAGGAATTCAAAAAACCAGAAGTTTGTCATTACCAAATAGGAAGTTTTGTAGCATTTAGGAAAAGATCTGTAGAGTCCAACGGTTTTATTCAACTAAATAAATAACTCGCTATTATTTGCACGTTAGCAAGATTTATCCCTCAAACTTGACACACCTGGCACTTGAATGGCCCGTCCTCAGTGGTTGTGCGGGCCCCAGCATAACCTCCACTTTTCGAAGAATTGTTGGTTAAGCCATTGTGGTTCACCGGAATCCCCAAGTCAGTCTGCCCAAGGTCTGGCCCAGGTCTTCACCACCACAGGCAGTCGCAGTCCTTTTGGATCAGAGGGAGGTCTTCCACCATGCGACTTTGATACCAGGACGGTGGTGGGTCCTGGTATTGGTTCATTCTTAGCTAGGCTTCCTGATGGAAACGCCGGACTCCTCAGCTTAGGAGACTCTGCCAGGGGATGAATCCCCGCTGTACATCGCAGTCTGACACCCAGAAACACCTTCCAGCCACGATGGTGCGTCGGTAAACCGCTGGTAGGGTCCCTCAAATTAGGGTCATTAAACGACTTCTTCGCCATTTCCTTCATGAGCATATACGAGGTTGTTCCTATGTACTACTTATTCACAATAGCTCACGTGTTAATAAATTACGCCTTCTCCAGAACATTGGAAAGTTTAAGTCAACTACAACCCAGTCAACAAAACATTTCCATATTCTCAAAAGAAAATCCACGATATTTAATTTTCAATCGCACTTGGAACAAAGCAGCTTCTTCACGTACTCACCGCTCTCCATAATTCTTTAAAGGACTATTTAACGTGGAGAACAACCGTGCACGGCTCACATGGAAGTGTAATGAGCCACTAACAGGTTAAAATATCACTATGAGATTTTATGTGAGATCACGTACGCACTACGTACGTACTTTACGTACTGAAGTTTTAGATTCCTGAGCGAGCATTGTTAGTTACGCTTCAAAATCCTCTCCGTTATGAGTTTAAGGGCACCTAGTGGAGTATTTCTTTTTAACTTTGCGCTCACCAACTAGATGTTCTTTTTAACAGACACACAGCAGTCTACACGTTTCGCCAAAATGTTCCTAACCACACATTTTACAAGAAATCGGATACAACATAGACAAACCCATGCAGTCACCCTCTCTAGCGTTGGAGGATATTATGCAATTTTGCATTCTTCATATACAGTCATACAGGTGACCACGAACTAGTTGGTGTCATAGAATATTCAGTAGTAATGCACTCACTGCTACCCATTTCTCTACACTGGCTCTTTCTAAGAAAAGTTCGACAGAGATGCTTACTTCACCGGAGCGCCGACGTTAATATAAAGATCCTCCTCGGATCCATTAAGTTCAAAATGAATTGAGATGTGTTGATTTAAAGCTACAAGCAGCCATTATTCATTGTAGTCAATACGGGCGTGACGAACGTCATGTGCTTAACATCAAAGCGATTTTTGAAACGAAATTTTTCAGCGCCTTCTTGGTTTTATCTTGCATTAAAATAGGCCGGATTTATCCAGGTTTTCCAAGTTCTGTATATCTCTGAGTGTGACTCACACGTTTGAGATGAATAGGCTTCAGGGCGCCTTCTCTCGACTTGATCATCACTATGAAAACAACTTTTCACCTTCCTGGATGGGCCAAACATTTCCACAGTGTCACGTTAGATTCCCGACACAACCTCACTTCCGTCCGAACGACAAATTGCTTTTAACGCGAAAACAGCTTTCATAAAAGGTGATAAATGAGACTTTAACCTTCAAAAATATTAATATCACAAGTAGCAATCTAAAGAATGATTAACTGCTAGCACGATTCGCTTCAAATACGTCATTATTAAAATGAGAACATCTCCCAAGTTTTTTCTGCACGATGATGTTTCCTTCACATTTGCGAAGATGTTTGAGCGCTTATCTCTCAGAACGCTCAAAACTGCGCTCGAATTCAAAGAATATCTGATGGAATGCTCGGATTCAATTCCATTTTCTTACAAAGACATTCCTAGAATGCTCAGCTATGTTGGTAAGCGCTAGCTGTGAGGAAAACGCTAACGATGAGATGAGGAAAGATCATAAGGGAACATCACCATAGTAAAATGATAAAAAGGATAAAACTTTCTGCGTTGATCAATCCCTGAAAAATGCGCCATGCATTCGACTTCACTAAGCATCGTTTAGAGGTGACTGAATGCACATTTGGCCTTTACAATGACCCGCGGTGGCTCATCGATGTACCGAACCACTGTTGCTATCCTCCCAAACAAGTCTGTTACCAATTTGCCGACCCCGGCGGGATGGAAGCCTTAGTGGGCCATGGACGAGGGGAACGATTTCACATGTGTTGCAGGGTACCTCCGACCACTGCGCCACACGCGTCCGTACTATAGTATAAGGAAAATATTCCATAAAACTGCTAGTCGATATAGCCCTTTTCACACTGGGAATGGTAATTCAGTTTGGAGAAACAGAGTGTGGTAACCTTGCAAAGATCATCAAGGAGCTAAAAATTTGCTTATTATTGCAAGGAAAAGTCTCAACTATTTCAAAATGGTTTAAAAGGAAACATTTTCCACAAAAAAAGCAACGCCTATATTCCCTTATGGCCTAAAAAGTGGTATTAAATGAACTTCAGTGCGCAATTGATGGTTGTCATTAAAATAACCTCTCGATCTTCCAGTGCCTTCCAAATCCCAATTATGAAGACGTTTTATCGTCTAGAGAAGCAGCATATACAAATCTAGTACCTTATAGAGATAATGTGCACCGAAGTGTCGGCATTCACCACCGCCCTGGTATCAAACTAATCGCATGGTGGCAATCTCCCTCTGATCCACAAGCGCGGCGGCTGCCTGTGATGGTGACGACCTGAGGTAGACTTTGGCTACGCTGACCTCGGGAATCCAGGGAACCATGGTGGCTAAACCAGCAAAACTCCAAAAAAGCGGAAAATAGGCTGCGGTCAGCAGAACCCGTGAAGATGGGCCACCCAAGTAGCCAAGCAAGTAAGCAAGTAATATGCAAACACTCTGAAATCTAACTACTTGAACTTCAAGAATAAAAGAAAGAAATTAAAGCATTCCGGCATAGCATAGTTGCGATCGACAGAAAATGAGAGAATGTCTGAATCTCAAAAACCATCGCAAATTCGCAAGAACACTAATCATTTGTGTCTTTAAAGCATTCTTAATTACTTCTTCGTGACAGGACTAAGTGAAATACAATCACAATGATGCTGAGGTACTTGCAAAACTCGGAACCTCACACCAGCTTCGAACCCACGACAACCCTCTCCGGTGGTTCACGTATTACCCACTGTTCCGTCGATGCCCCTGATTTGTCTCTCTCTGCCAGTTTTTCATCCTAAATTTTTAAATCATTTCTAGATCTCTCACATGCTGGACACGCACACTATTATTTTAAATAATATTAGATGGAAAGACTACAGTAATCTCCTCATCACTATCGTCGACAAAAAAATTTGGTTTAAAAGAATGACTTGACACATTCTTAAGAGATGGAACAACAATGTGAAGAGGATTAACCTCCTTTGTTATATTAACACTCAAACACAATAGAATCGATTCTTACTCCCCAGTTTTTCCGAAACGGCTCAATGTTTAAAGGCATAGACGAGTAGAATGGGAAACAAACCTAAGCGCTCAATTCATCTACGCCATGGAATTGCTTGGAACCGCACAGCATGTGCACGCGGCCTTTCTAAGCTTTTAAGTAAGGGGTTTTTCGAAAACCTTTCTCAAGAAATTTCCACTCTTTTGTAAAGATCTCTAAAACGTACTTTATAAAGCTCCACTATAAAGTTCTTACAACTTTTTTTGTCAGGGACTTTCTAAGCCTCGGTAAAATAGAGTGGAAAAACGATGTGCAAAAAGAAAAAGTGGGAGAGCATATTATTTCTACTTTGTTGGTGACTAGTAACCTCCATAATCGGCATTGCACTTAGTTAAGTTGAAGCTGTAGTTGGAATCACAATGTTTTAGCTTCCATTTACTCCCTATTCTTTTCTTCTTTCGCTGGTTCAATGCCCAATTGAAGCCCCTATTCCGATCTTTACCGCTGACGAGTGATTGCTGATGGCACTGTCACAGTAAAAAAAAATTGCTGAGAAGAAAGGCATAATAAAAGCCTCAGTTGGTGTAGTGGACAGAAAGTGAGCTCTGGAAAAGCGTAATCACGGGTTCGAAGCTCAAACAAGGTCCCGAGTTCTTTTCATATCAATCTAAATAGTTTTCACATTTGATGGTTCACTTTCATAGATTCCTGCAGTTTCGGGATTTCACCTCTTTATCTCCTTTGGAAAACTTAAAACGAACATTAAATGGAATGATCAAGACTCCTTTCCTATTAAACCACAAAAACCGTCTCTAGGAAACTACAACGTTGGTCTTCAAATCATCTGAGGATTAAGGTCAAAGCAGCCCCAGAAAAGGCGCAGTGGTAAGAAGCAATACGAGAGGGTTAAAACTTTGGACTGGATAAAACGCCGATGAGTTGTCAGCAAAGTTCAATGCAGAAAACGAGAACTAGAACTTTTACAGTCCTGAATGCGAAAATCACTCACATCACCGTCTCCTGCTGAGAATTTTTTCCTCTCCAGCGGCTCGACAGCCATCACTCGAAGTTTTTTTCTGCTCTGTTTATCGTCTAGTACATCCTGATGAAATGCCGTCATATGGCCCCACATGCTTTTTGTGCTGCTATCGCCACGCTTCAGTACTTTCCAGCAATACACACACTCGACATTCTGGTTCTCGTTCAACAGACGATAATGATCCCAAATCTCTGACGACTTCTTGCATGCTTTCGTGCTTTTCTGATGCTTTTTCTTGCCGTCATTCGGCGATTCACATGGATTCAGAAGCGACGACAGGACATCGGCAGCGATGATCTCGTCCGCCATTGACGATGTCGACGGTGAGACATCCATCGACCGAGTATGAACGAACACTGTCAGTGACAGACTAAACAAATTTTACTACAGAATAGAAGATACGGGGAGAGTAAAATGAGAGAAAAAACAACGACACCATAAGTAACAACGAATGTATCGAGGAAAAACTGGATATTCGAACAAAATCTTCAGTGGTCTGAAATGTGACTGTCAAATTTCAGACCTACAGATTCGATAGAAACACCAGCAGAAGAAGAAGTGAGAGCGATAATCGCATGGAAAACTATGAGAGCTAAGAATGGTCGTGAAAAATTCCATTGAACCCACCTTAGACAACCATTCTGATCAATCGAATTGACGATCTTCGAAAAGAAACCAGTTAAAAAATTCGAACCTTCAATTAGCAAACCATCAAAAATATTCAGCAAGCTATCTAAGTGTTGCAAAATAAGGACAGATTGATAGATAGACACTTCACAAATGTGCTCTACTCCTACTTTACCGTACTACAGTAATCTATTACCACTATCGCCTACTATACTGGACTCAACTAGTTCCTTTTACTTGTACAGAGAACTGAACCGTCACGTTTCAAGTACATACGAATAATCCTAGAAGTAAGATATACAAGAAGATGAAATATACGAAGATGCCGTCTACACTCAACCTTCCCGTGTTTTCGAGTACTGAAGCTAAAATTGATTAGGATCGAAGACTACTATCCACCAATGGAGACAGTCAACGTAAAAGAAGAGAAAGAAAACGGTTAGGATACTAAGAAAGAGAATTTTATAACCCATTTACTGAATTATAAAGAGTTCGAATCCACTAATATGAAAACTGGGAAGGAGCGTGAACACAAGAGGTGCGCCACTGCCGGGCCAGTGATGGCCATCGAATACTGAAAGACGGGGAAACCCGCGGCAAGAGAGCACACTGGCCCCCGAAACGCGAAGTCGACGACGCTCCCCAGACAGCACAGCCCCAGCGGAGGGAGCGGGGCGTCGAGACGAAGCGAGACACGTCCGAGTTGCTGTAGAGTGGCAGAGAGCGGAGACGAAAGAGTGGGGCCGAGGAGGAGTACGTCGAGATCGGGACGGATGGGCCGCGAATCGATCGAGGGGTCCCGTACAGAGTGGCTCAAGGTTGGTCGCGCGGGGGCACCGCGAGGTCGGGCGCACGGCCCCGCTACGATGTGTTCGGCCGATCCCCCGTACGGGGGCGGGGGTGGGGAAGGGATCCGATGTCGCCGCCGTCATCGTCGTCAGCATCCTCCCCAGAGCTGGCTTTTCGCGACCTCCCGAAGAACTAGGGCCAACGGGTGACTCCTACAGACATCAATTATTTTTCTGGGCAAACATCTATACTCTCTCAACCGAGGTACTTCAGTTTCCGAAAATCGTTGGTGGTCAACATCCTACCCGGGGCCTGCTTTTCGTAATCTCCCGAGGAACTAGCACCAACAGGCTACCTTTACAGGGGTCATATATCAATTGTTTCGTCCGAACAAGCACTTAGGCTCTTTCAGCCGAAACACTTCAGTTCGACTTTCCCACTATAATTAAACGTTTTTTTTTGTCCATCGTCTTACAGTTTTCATTTTATCGTTTCCCATTTTGCATGCAAGAAATCCCATTCATCCGCGGCGCTGAGTCGTTCGCGTCCCTTCTCTCATCATCGTTCGCGAATTCGGCCCACTCACGGACCCATTCATTACGAACGTGGCAGGTTGTGTGTATAGCAGAATAGATTGAAAAAGTAAATTCTGCGATTTCTCAACACAGTCATTTGCACTAGGGAATTCACGGAATGCAGCGATCGACGATTAAATATAGTCTAGACATTGGCAGTTAGTTCCTTCTTCTTAACTTAAGTGCATTTTATTGTTATTTCAACACAATTTCATACATACATACAAACGCGCTCACTTTTCTAAGTCATTCGAGTCAGAAATCGGGGCTGAAACCCTTTCTAGATTAGGCCGCTGGTTTCTTGATGAACACACAAGAGGTTGCTACTATACTACCTATTTACTGTAGCTGACGTTCCGGTGGATTTCGTCTTTAACAGAACCTGCAAAGATCTGGTTGACTGCAATCTAGTCAACCAGCTACCTCCAGACTACGTGGCTTACAATATTCAGCAAACTGGACCTTCCAGTCTGCGAAAAAGATGAAATCCGCCGAAATTTCAGCTATTATTAATAACTACTATAAAGACAACCTCGTGTTTGCTTATCAAGAAAACAGCGTATTGATCAATGTCGAGGTTAACATGAAGTCCATCTTGAGAACTACGGCAAGGCATTTCTAGGATGTTCGTTGAAAAAATACCCTGATAATATTTAACTTTTTATACACTGCCTATTGTTTTTCTTTTTCACGGTACGATATTATGTGAAATACAATCACAATAGTGCGGAGATATTTGAAAAATTGGACCCCAAAAAATTGGGCAGATTCGAACCTGTGATTACCCTTTCCGAGTGATCGCGTGCTCACTACCGCTGACGTGTGATTGCTGATGTCACAGTTAGGGTAAAAAAAACGGAATGAGAAAAAGACAAAGCAAGGCCGTCAGTGGTGCAATGGGTAATATTTGAGGTCTTGGAAAGGGTAGTCGAGGGTTTGAATCTGGACTGGGATCCAAGTTCTGCGAATATCTCAGCATCATTATCCTGTTTGTATATGATTTCTTGGGTATATTTTGTTTTATTAGAGCTAATTTAGAGAAAAAAACATAGATTTGGATTATACAAACCTTGTATTAGCTCAGTCATACAGAAAATTATCGATTTGGAAATGTTCATATTAGTCAGCAATGCTCAAACAACATGTCAAGCAGTTGTACTTCGAGAAATAACTAGACCTGTGCCAATTTCTCGCTGAATCGTGCAAAGACTCCGTCCGACGAGTGGAATTTCTTCAAATGAGTACGCAGATTGTTCGGACTACGATCGTCGCCTTGCCATGAGCAATGAAGACAAATCACTCCACCGACACCATCTAAAAAAAGAGATAAACACTAAGAGAAAGACCGGAAGAGAAAGAGAGAAAGACAAGTTTTTGACTTTGTGCGACGATCGACTCATAAAATTGTGGCTTGTAGCGTCGGATTTTAGAATAGTGACACTTTTTTTTTATAGGACTTCATAACTATAAAACTTCCACAGAGTTCAGTGCTTCGAAGCAAGGTAAATCTCTTTGGATATGATCTGCTCCTCCTTTCTCTGAGACACAGTTTTTTGGATAGCGTCCGTACGGATGAAAGCAAAATAATAATATAAGCGAACAATGTAAATTACAGAATAATTGATTATAGGAGTCTTACGGAAACCCTTGGAATGAAATGAAACGGTCCACCATCCGGCTAAATCTGGTTCGCAGATGATTTGGAATCTGGTTTAAACTGTCGATAGCATTTAATTAGCAGATGCACATTTATTTACAATGCAAAAATAGCAACTATGGGGGTAACGCGACAATGACACAGAAGTAGAGGGGTAATCTCTAGTTGATCGCCGACAGTAGACTGAACCCGTGGTTACGACGTTCATCGTCGTGCCAAACACATTGAAGTACTTGTCAGATCTATGATAGTGGAGCGATGGTAAATTTAAGAGTTCACAAATGCTTTGCTATGTGGAAGGTGGTTGGATGGATTTGGTGGAGGATCCACATGGCAAGGCATTTGTGAACTCCTAAATTTACCATCGCGCCACTATCGTAAATTTGACAAGTACTTCAGTGTGCTTGGCAAGACGGTGAACGTCGCAACCGCGGTTTCTGTAGACTGTCGATAGCATAGTTGTTATTCTGATCGGTCCAAAATCGTTGAATTGCAAGAAAGTTACCAGTGTCATATGAACTTCAAGGAGACCACAGCATAAAGCTTTTCAAGAGCTACTTAGTCGTTTTTCTCAAAAAAAAAGAACCAAATGAATAACAACCTGAATTTTTGGAACTGGCCAAGGTCTTTTTCGTCGCTGACATCCTACACTTCTTGGTTAGTCTTCATCAAAAAGAAAAACGTAAGCTTAGTGGACAGTTGAAGGCGACATGAAGTTACCAACCACATTAAGCGAATGAAGGTAAAAATACAGGGATATTGATAATTCATAACAAAGTTAAACAAAAAAGAATCACTTCAAGAAATATATAATAATTTGCTACCTGTCAAATACCGTAATAATTTGAATTGTTTTAGAATGGATTGTTGTGCTGTTTATCGAGCAGTGCTGGTATTGTATGGAAAGGGCACCGTCGGATGGTGTTACTTTGATTGTGCGATGTTCCACGCCCTAGTAACTGGACTCGAAATGGCTCTGAAGATGACGAAATCGCCGAGAAATCCAATTGTGCCCTTGGAATTTGTCTCTACGTTGAGTACCAGCAAACGATTACTCTAATCGTTTTTTTTCGAACTGCAAAGAGCAGACAATGAAGAGCTATATAGAAAACATGGGGACATGTAGAGCGAACACAGTAGACGAAAACTGTTTAACGACAACGTCATCACTGATGACTCTTCGCAATAGTGTATTCGGTGGAGAAAGTGCGTGAAAAGGATCATCGAAGCTTTGGATATCAGTCAACGAACTACCACAACCAGTAGCAGGAAATATTTCGGAAGAAACGAGAAGTAAACACCACAAAATAACCCTCTATACATGGGAATGGACCTAGGATTGAATCAACATCAAGCCTTCGTTGAATAATACGCAAGAAGGTGCTTTGGCTGCATACATAAGGATAACGAGGTAAAGGTAAGAGCAAGAAGACAAATCTATGTGATTTCCACATTCTATTAGAAGCACTGTTCAAAGGAAGTGAAGACGCCATACCTATAAGAGATAAAAGTGATGAGAGAGACACGGGATAAAGTTCACTCTCTAACACCTACGAGACCCTTTTTTCCGCCCTCAAGAACCATCATCAAGGTGATTTAACCACAGGTTTGTGAACTGCAAACAAGAGACTACTGAGCACCTGAACCGAGTAACATTATTGCCAATGTTAACTTTTTATTTACTGCCTATTATAATTTTTCATGGCAGGGTATTACGTATGATATAACCATAATGATGCTGAGATATTTTCAAAACTCCGGATCGCAGGTATCTGTGCTGGGGATCTAACCAGCTATTACCCTTTCCGTGGGCTAACGCGTTCACCCGATTGAGCTGCCTAGACTGATCACGTTGAAAGGTGTTCGCCGATGGCGCTGATCAATAAAATTAGCTGAGAGACGGGCGAAACGAAGGACCAGCATGGTGTGGTGGTGAACGCGCTACACCCTGGAAAGGGTAATAGCACGTTCGTTCCCCACCGCAGATACCTGCGGTCCCGAGTTTTGCAAATATCTCAGCATCATTGTGATTAATGCCATGATTAATTTCTTGAAGGCTGTAAACTATCACCAGTACACTTAACTGGCAAAACACATAGTGCGATATCTGGTGCAAGAGAAGCAAGCAAATTGGTAAGAAAACATTTTGACCTGTAATTTTTCCCAGAAAAAGCGACAATGACTTTTAACAATGCGGCTCAACCATTGATATCAATCTTACAATCGATAGATGAACATGTTTTACAAGTTATTCAAAAACACTGTACTCAGAAATACCTCAATGTCTCTAGATGAAGCTTTCGGAACAATCGAGAGCTATTCAGACAGCACAAAAACTATTACAAGGATTATAGACGTCCGTGCGAGTGTCGCTAGCCTTTCGGTTCAATCACAGGCGACTGCGGAACAGTGCCGAAAGAGCAGAAACGAGGGTCATTCTGTCACCATTGGTCGAGCGAAGCATCAAAATGAACTTTTATCAATTCCTGTCGATTGGCGATGAACAGTATATGAAACTATTTCACTGAACTCTGCATAGTTATATTGTCGGGAAACACCGAAGTGAACAGCAGTGGATAAGTCTAAAAATGCTATTTTTCAACAACGGCTAGAGCAATGCAAAAAGCCTTGCAATTCGTGAAATGAAAATCTTCTCGTTCCACACATGCTAAAGATGTACCTATGACATAGGCAAACAAATCAAAGATTTGTGCTCCCCAGATAATTCCCGTTAACGGGTGGTTGCTGAGAGCACCGCTTGTGTAAAAAACTAACTGAAAGAAAGGTAAAACAAGGACCTCAGTTGCTGCCAATGGAGTTGGTGTCAACGTCAAGTGAGCGCACAGAAATGATAATCGAGGGTTCGAAACGCACTTGAGGTTTCGAGTTCTGCTCATATCTCAGCATTCCTGCGGCTGTATTTCATGTCGTGCCCTATCGTGAAAAAAGAATAGGCATTACATAAAAAGTTAACAGTTCTCGAATCCACAAAATGTGATCTTTTTAATTGCAGGGTATTATACAGTCACGAAAGATATGAGTAAGTTTCAGAAACTCAAGTAGGCTTCGAACACGCGGTGACCTTTACCGTGGGCTCTATTCAAGAAGTGGAAAAGGGTGAAGAATAGGAGCCGTTTTTGGATCTGTGAAAATGCTATCGATTGGTGAATTTAGAGCAATCACTTGTCTGGGTTCTTCAGCTATTTCGTTTCTTCTCTCTGCTGTATGGAACGATGCTTACACATAGGCTAACCATCACGAAACCAGATGTGGACGGTCAGACGCCCAAAAAATATCACATTCTTCCTAACGCACCACAATGTGTATGTAAAGAGGAAGAAACTGATGGATTGGCTTCGAATGCAAGAAGAAATTGAGATGACAGATCGTACTCGAGCGATGTCCGTTCTAAAAAGTAGAACGACGTCACGAAGACCACTAGAGACCGATATACCTGCCGGCAGAGGACGTCAGCTTTGTAAAGAACTAGCCTTTTTCTTTGACTCTCAGATCTTGGAGTCGTGTGTTTACCTGTAGGTGTTCACCACCAAAATGATAGTTGCAAGAAAACCCGAACATTTAATTAAACACGACGAATTTCTAAGAAAAATTCGAAATCGTAATGAAAGAACCTGGATGGAAGGATTCAACTCAGCAAAGTTGTTAGCTTCGAATACTACATTTGTCAGTTAGTCAGCTGAGTTAGTTGTTGCAAAGTTCTTTTTCCTTACAGTCGAACGATTTTAATTAGCGTTTTAATAGAAATAACCGACAGTTGAATGCGTAGAACGTCAAATGTTCATAATTCCGAGAAGAATGCTTCAAGTTGGAAAAAAGGTGGCATACTTACCAATTTTTTGGAACAATTAACAGCTTACACGAAAACATAAGAACAGTGAAAAGTATCACATAAATAAATCATATAATACAGTAATAATAATAGAGAATCCCAACGGCTTATCATTGTAGGTGGAAGGTGTTCCTGGGTGTCGGGCTGCGATGTACAGTGGGAGTATTCGTCCCCTGATCAGCGGGTATCCCAAGCTGAGAAAGAGTCCGACGTTTCTATTAGGAAGCCCAGCTAAGCGGAAACCAATATCAGGATCTACCATCGTCCTGGTATCCCTCTGATTCACAAGGGCGGTGACTGCCTGTGGTGGTGACGACCAGGGGCAGACTTTGGCTAGCTGACCCTGAGACTCCAGAGAACCACAAGAGCTAAACCAGCAAAACTCCGGAAAAATGGAAACTATGTTGGGGCCCGCACAACCAGTAAAGACGGGCCATACAAGTGTCCGAGTCCGATAATAATAGACAAATAGGAAAAGTCTAACTCATTAGAACGTAAATGTTATTTCATAAGTGAAACAAGCATCTTTGCGTTTCCTTTGACAGCAAATATTTCCACCTTAAGGCTTATTTTATTAAGTGAGCAAGAAATCCAGGCCTTCGATAGGTCAAACGCTCTCCGGTTGTCCCAAGTGCTCGATGTTTCTATTATTTGTTATTCGATTAAATATAGAATATGAAACTCATCATCGATTCATAGTAACATTGACCTTTCACTATGAAAAGAATATCAGAAATTGAAGACTTAGAAGACGGAATAAATAAGCTATTATCTTGAAAACTAGTGCCCGTTGCTCGTCTCGAATGT